GCTAACCAGTATTTTCACCCCTTCCCAAAATTACTTCTACGGAAGGTTTCCAGATGGATATGCGGAGCAAATCCTTCTGGCGGAGTCAGGTTATCAGGACACTGGCTTGTGCATCATTTCATGGACGTTATGCTGCCGTGCGTTACGCATAAGTTAGGCTGTCGTTGGACAGAAGTTCTGGCAGTGTATTCTCATTATGAGTTCGTATGAAATCGTACGAAAAGTTATGCACCGTAATTTCGTACGTTTTGAACGTTTTTTTCGTTGTATGCGCATCTGACGCACCATTCACGTACATAGAATATAAATTCCAATTAGCCCTAACCCTGACCCTAACCCTAAGATATAAAACAGCAAGCAACGTAGTTAGAGACATGAATACGTGATGATTGCACTGTTTTTCCCAGTTTTACGTCCGTCCACGGATCTGCTTTTTTTTTCTGTCTGCCAGCGCATGCGCACTGATGTGGTTTTTTGAGGAAAAACGTCCAAAAAGTACGAAATAGTGTGCAAAACTTATCGTACGATTTCATACGAACTGATAATGAGAATATGTTGGTTCTGGACTCGCTATGAATCCTCTATGTATACGCCCAAAATTGAAAAAATACATAGAAAGTTCAGCGTATGCCAGCATTACAGGAGATTCTGGGACGTCAGGTGGCCTGCTGGCTAAACCGTCAAGGTGTGACAGGGGCTTAAAGTTAAATTTAACTTTAACTTTGAACAGTAATGAAATATTCAACTGATATCAATAAGGGTGTTCAATACTTTTTGCCTGTATCGTTCACATTTTTGGTGTTGTTTTCTTTCTATGTCTGGATTACTGGGTTGTTACTATAAGTTTACTATCCAATATGATGACGTGTTCAATTCTACATATAAAAGGTCTAGACTTAAATTGTTTTCAATTTTCTAAAGCATTTGAGACCAAAAAATAATCTACAAATGATATTATTAATTTAGTAGAAACATAATCCAATAAAACAGCTTTTTGTTCACCGTCTTATTTTATCACATTTTCTAATATAACATATCGTGCATTCATCCGTGTCAGTTACCTGCAGCGTTCATTATGAAAGAATAATCTGGAATAAGGGTGATACCAAACATCTGTACGATATTAACCTAAGAATCAGAGTAGGAAGGACTGTCCAGCAGCTCCACTGGGTACAAATACAAGGCAGCATGTAAAATCTTTATCAAAATTAAGTGAAAAAGGTGCAGAAATATCAACGATGCACATAAAGTGCTTTAAAACATCACGGACTGAATCGTTTCCCCAACATATTCATCACAACGATTAAAAACGAATTCAGTTACTTCATCCAAATGTAATCAAACAGGTATAACTGCATGAAAACCTCAGATAAAATATATTTCTTTAAACAACTCATTAGTTCCAGGTGTGAATCAAGTGTGACTCCTCCACACTGCAAGAAATTTTATTCCACATAAGTCATTTTTTCTTAAAATAAGTGCATTTTTTCTTGAATTGAGGAGGAAAGTGAGACATTTTGCCAATGGAATGTGACAATTTACATTTAAAATAAGAAAAAAACTATTACATTGTCTTATTTCAAGTGAATATTATCGAATAATCTTATTTTAAAAGTGAAACTACTCATCCCATTGGCAAACTATCTGATTTGCCTACTCAAATTAAGGGTAAATACACTTAATTTAAGAATTTTTTTCTTATTTCTAGATAATTTTCTAGTGTATTTCTGGTTTAGCAGTGCTGTAAGAATGAATCATGAATAACTCGTAGAAAGTCTTCAGGTAAAACAATGCAGAGGATAAACCCAGAGCAGGCCGATCCACCAAATCCCACCGTCCTACAGAAAGAACAGAAGAGAAAAAAGTTCTGATAAACAAAATGTAATCAGGAAACAGCAACAAACAGCAGCAATTCCCTGCAGCTTGATAGAAACTGGCAACTGAACTTTAATTACATTTTTATGAATTCCCGAGATCTTTTTACATGGTTTTTACATGTTCTCCCTGAGCATGCATGGGTTCTCTCCAGGTACTCCAGCTTCCTCCCACAGTCCCAAAACGTGACTGTTAGGTTAATAGGCTTCTCTAAATTCTCCTTAGGTGTGAGTGTGTGTGAATGGTTGTTTGCCTCTTCGTTGCTCTGCGATGAACCCCGCCTCTCACCCATTGACAGCTGGAGATAGGCACCATCACCCCTCGTGACCCCAATTGGGATTAAGCGTGTTTGAAAATGGATGGATGGATGGATGGTCTTCAACATTTTCCAGACCAAGGACCCCCAAACTGATGGCCAGATGGAGCGGGGGCCCCCTAATTATATATACTGTATGAAACTGGTCCTATAGTCACTCTATTACAGATGGAGTAATGTAACTAAAGTAATCCCTCCCTGGGATTTTTAAAGTATTTCTGATTCCTGGTTGATGGGACAGGTGTTGTGAATGAAACGGTG